CAAGTCGAGCGACTGAAAGCTGAAAAGGCCATATCGAATAAGTATAGCAAAATAGAGAAAATTTCTTACGTATAAGCAGATGACTATGTAGAGTCTAATAGAGTTTATGAACCTATCGAAGAAAGTGAGATCCATGTGGCAGAACTAAAGTCTGGACACTCAAATGTTTGTAAACTTTTGAAACATTCGAATGGAAAAAATTCGGCTGAACCTAGTAAGAATGAAAAATTTGTCACAAAGACATATACATTTGATATCACAAAGTGTGACAATTTTTTATTTGTCAGTCACTGAAAGGCAGATTGTAGTGCCTCAAGGACTAAAGACTCCCTCATTATAGCAAGAAAAAGAGAGGTTTTTGTAAGTACCATAATATTTTGGGTCATAAAACGTCTCAATGTGTGTTTTTCAGGTACTTGGTATAAAATATGCTCAAAGAAGGTAGGTTATAGTTCAGGGAGAAACCCAAGGCTACGATGCAAGTAGACTCTGATCCTCTCTAAGTCAAAGAGGCGCATTTCGATGAGCCTGTTGAAATTCTGATGGTCGAATCTACTGAAGGTTTTGTAATGGAAGTTGAACAGATTGTTGTGGAAGATACTGAAAAAAAATGAAGGTGGTGTCCCCTAAAGAGGAAGCAGAACTTGTTGACTTCCTGAATCAATGCAAACTGACTAACTTTAGGGTCATGTTATGCCCAATATGTAGCGTTTTTCATACCCCAAATTTGTCCTACCCTTTTATTTTCTTATATTAAGCATGTGTGTAGTGATGATTGAAATTCAGTAGGAATTTGAGTGGTTTGCTTCATTACCAAGTTACCAAGGTCGTGTCAGGTTCATAATGCTTCATGGTTCATTTTTCAGTTAGATTTTTATGCAGTTGCAATCACAAGTCATTATCTTCTAATTTCAAGGCATATTGTTGCTCATTTGGTTCATGGTGAAAGATTTCATTTATCAGTATTCAAGTTGCAAAGTTCAGATGAATTCATGTTGATTCAAAGTTCCAATTCATTCATAATGTAAGGTTGGTTTATGGATGTTCTTATTTCTCAAGGACCAGTTCCAGATTTTATTTGGTTCTAATTGGAAATTTAAGTCCACGAATTGCAAGTTTCATTCGTCGTCATCACTCAAGATTTAAGAATTTCAAGATGGCTAAAAGTGGTTTTAAAGATTGTTCTAGTGAGAATTTCAAGATATTCAATTGGTTTCAAGAGTGGTGTCCATATGTAAAATTCGATCAATTTTTTATCATTCAAGTTCAATTATCATGGTTATCATGGTTCAAGCAAAAGTCCAATTCAAATCGTGAAGTTTAGTCCAAGTACAAGGGTGCAAAAAGTACATTTAAATTGACAATTCAAGTTATATTTACAAATTCCAAAACAAATGGCATTCAAAGAAAAATCAAGATTCCCATAGCAATCAAAATTGCCCCATTTCAAGTTTACAAGCAAAATAACCCGTTTGTCTTACAATTACAATTGTCAAAGGAAATAAGCCATAACGAAAAAATGTACACGGTTGCTGCAATATGTCCAAAACTCAGCCTCTCCAAGCCAACATTCCCCACACAAAATACGCCTGCTACACAAATATCCAAGCCATCCATCATATTACAATAAACAAGCCACATACTAACCGCATGCACAATAAGACAACTTCCCACCAACTGCAGACAAGCACATGAAAAAATACACAAAATGCTACCAAGCCAAGCTCAACATGAAAGTACTTCCAGAAATCAAACCTATTAATGAATGATCATTGGATCATTTTTGATACTTTAGGTATTAATATGTTGCCCTTGATTGATCATTTGAGACTCTTGATTAAACAATGAGATCGTTCTCTCTTTCTTTTTGTGTGACATGACTTTAGAAGACTGATTTATATATCATCTCTCTAGCATGTTTTAGCACAAACATTGTTATTGACCGACCTCCCATAGTATGATCTTCCTCATAGATTATGCTATGGTTGCTTAACATAACGCTAAATTCGTCCTAATTCGAGAAAGTCATCATCCGATCAATAACCATTAACAAGTAACATCTAACTTTTACATTTCCACTATTTATCTTCTTGCTATTTAATTTCCGTCATTTATTTCATTGTTCATTATGTCATTTTCATCTTTATTTGTTCATCTCATTAAAAACACACAAAAAAAAGAAAGATAAAGTGATCAAAATCCTAAAAAACACTAAGCTTGGACTATGGTTATTATCCCTAGCATCATAGAGTTTTGGACCTTGTACATTAACCCTAGCAAAGGATAATTGGATCTTGGACTTCTCTATTTTCTTTGTCTTAGCCTAGGACACCATTGCACATCATTCATAACTTACTCTTGGACTTTCTTACAATGAGACTTATTCGATCAATTAATTCTAGTTGGTCGTCTAAACGACTAGTCCACTTTGCTAGTACACACGTAGTTTATTGTTAGGGCTGTGTGTTTATTACTTATTTGTATCCCCATTTGAATATGTACCCCCACTTCCATGATGTGTAATAATTTTATCGCTTTCCTTTATTTTGCTTAAGTTTTGCCATTGCATCACCTAAACCATTTTCAAAATAATTCTCGATTCAACGTCGAGTCATTTTACACCCTTGTAAGTCGATTTCCTCGTGCATCTCCATCAACCTTAACCTAACACAATTAGGCCCCCTTCCAATCATTTCAAAACCTTTCCATGCTTCGCACGCAAATTCAAACCTCGATCAACATCGAGCATTTTTTTCCAAATCAAATTAAGATAACTAATCATATTTAAAAATATTTCATTAAAGGTGAAAAGTGAGTTGGTTTGGAGCCTTTGATTCCTCTCCTCGATTGTTTAGGTACTAGGAGCCTTCCTTACTATTCAAATAATTGTCATCTCTAAAAAATTCTAATCCGATTCACTTTAAACTCATTTTCGTAATAAACTGAATCAAACCTATTTTTCTCAATTACTTAGATAAAAAAGAGGGAGTTTAGAACCTTCTATTCTCTCTCCCGAGTACTTGGATACGAGGAGCCTTCCTTGGCCATTCAAGTACTCGTTATCCGTTCAAAAACTTTAATCATATCAAACCCTTTCATTATTAAGGTTGGAAAAGAGAGAGTCTAGAGCCTTCTATTCTCTCTCCCGATTGTTTGGATACAAGGAGCCTTCCTTGGCCATCCAAGTGATCGTCATAAAAAAAAACAATCAACACATTAACTCAACTTCTCACCGCCGTGCGATTAAAACGTTTTCTAAAAAAGAACGATGTCCAGTCCTTTCTAAATGCTTAAGCCTCCGCCGAGAGTAGACAAGCTAACGTTTCGCCCTTAGAATGTGACCTAAACATTCGTTCGATAAAACGAACCAACAATCCATAGTCCCATGAACTACAGACGCTCTGATTCTTCATTTCTTTCAAATGAAGATACGTAGGCACAAGAGCCCAAATCCTTGGCGAGAACACTAATAAAAAACCACACATTTCCCCTTAGAAATCGAAACCCTTTTCTCATACCTTTCGTATTATTCGCTCAGAAGAAAACAAATAACATTAGCTAGCAATCAATCATAAATTGGACTAAGAGTTTCCCGTTAAGTACAACGGACGTGAGGGGTGCTAATACATTTCCTTTGCGTAATCGACTCCCGAACCTAAAATTTGGTTGCAATGACCATGTTCTTATCTTTTAAAGGTTTTATTGATATTTTCCTATTCTTCCATTGGAATAAATAAAGTTCGATGGCGACTCTATTTGAACAATTTTTTTATGCGTCCCATCGCGAAGGATCATATTTTTCCGAGGTACGGCAACGCTGTGTTTCATGAAGAGGTTGCTAAAGCCTCAAAATTGGAAAGTTCTTGCATCCAATGAAGAATAAATAGGGTCGATCAACATCTCATTTCACCTTTGTCAAGAGGGGTGTTCCACACAAGAGTGTCTGTTTTAGTAAAAGTGTTCAGGACATGAATATAAAGTTTGACATGACCACAAGACAAAAAACAGTTGTTGGTTGTTTGCAAGTCACACATGTTCCAAACTTTATCCTTGTCATTCCTATTGATGGGATTGGTCAACATATGTGACAGGTGGAATACCGTACTATCTTGAGATACCACCTTATGATTCCCTTATTTTTTATTGATGAGGTTTTTCCTATTTGTTGCAAGACGTGTTTGGATCCATTTAAGAAACACATGATTCATTGTAAAAAGCTTATAGACTTCAAATACCTACATGAACTTATTAATGATGTTTTATTTGATATATTTTGGCGAATCAAAGTATCTTTGAAGAAAGAAGTGTCTTTGAGTTTATTGACTGATTCACATGAGGGGAGATCGTTACTTAGCAAATGTTTGAGTGTATAGGTAGGTAGGAGAGAAACATGCATGTGTGGACTTGAGAGAAGTTTCTCCTCTAGTGGGACTTAGAACTTGAAGTTTTAACAAAGGACAAACGACCCTCAAATTTGATTCAAATAAAATAGTCAAACATGAGAAAACATGTTTTGACAATCAATATACTTTCACACCATTTACCTTTGACATTTTTAATTTCTATCTCCGGTGAATCTTTTATAAAAGAATCCAAAAACTTATGAATACTAAATATAAACTTTAAGATGATTATTTTAACATCTAAAAAATAGCGCCGCAACTTCTTATCCCATATTTATTTTTATATAAAGAAAATTTATAAAATAATGAGTGGCGTGGATATATTAGTAGACATTGTTATTTGTGTTATTATTAAAATGATTAAACCTGTTATTTCCTTTTCATATATAATCTATAAATACGTTTATATTTATATTCAGTTGAGCAGATTACATTAAGCTTGGAAGGAAAAAAATCTGAACACTTATTTAGAGTATAAAAAAATAAATGAATTGATATGAAGCACATTACAAGTAAACCCAATTGAACAAGCGTAATTAAGAATAAAAAGAATAAATCAAATGTTCAAGTATATATAGTTGCAAAAGGTAGATATAATTAGGATGCAGCGCATTCTGTTGGAAGGCCTTGAGGAAATCTTTTGGTGTCGTTGCAATAATTGTAAATCATGTAATTCTTTTGCACCCAACTCATTCTCTGTTGAGATGTGGAATCCAATTGTTGAGAGTACCAAGCATTGGTTGAGGAAGCATCTGCGTTGAAATTCCTATATGATGCTATGAATGGACCTTCATTCCAATCTGTCTTCACAAGACCTCCTCTTGTTGCCCAATCATCCGCATTCCATAGACTTGAATATATCCTCATTGCTTGCTTCTTTGGAAATGCAACTCCTTTTGATTCCATGTTCTTGAATTCTCTTATGGGTGTTCCATCCACAGAAAAACTGCATTCAATAAATATACACATACATGCTCATCAATCATCATTAATCAACACTCATGGAATGAAATTGAAGTGTGTGTCATATTTGTAAAACAAGTACTTACAAAATGCGCTGTGGATTCCAGAGAATGGAGTAAGTGTGGAAGTCAGCAGTTGGATCAAACCATAGATAGAACTGTTGCTCTCTATTTCCTTTTCCTTGACTGAACACATTGGTGTGAAGAATGTATGGTTGTCCGCTTACATTTCCCAAGAATTCAAAATCAATCTCATCCCAATTTGATCCTTTTGATGATAACTGCAACATGCCATATTAAAAATAAATAGTTAGGAATTTTGAAACATGAATTATTAGCATTAAAATAGTAAGCTTAATTTGTTCTTACATAGTAAGCAGTGACGGTGCCTGCAGAGTTTCCAGGTACAAGCTTGAGTTGCATATCAATATTGCCGAAGAGATATTCATTCTTGGATTGAAAACCAGAACCGGAGGCTTTGTCAAGAGAAAGAGTGAGAAGTTGACCGTTGTCGAGTATGTTGGCACGACCATCTCCCCAAGTAATATCAAAATTCTGGTAGAAATTCCCTGCTGCATAGGGTAACATGAAAGAAGCAAATAACAGTTGAGATAGAAGGAAAGTGATGGTTGAAGAAGTATGAATGAATGCCATGGTAGATTTGTATTGAAGGTGTATATAGTATTTGGTAGTGGTAATGAAGTTAATGTTGAGAAATGGGAGTTGTATTTATAGTGATAGGTTTGTGAAAGGAAGGAAGAAAGAAAGGAAAGTGCAATGCAATCACTCAGATATGTTGCCGTGTTGACAGCTAGAAGTAGACAGTAGTTTTCGATTGGATGATGAAAGATGAGTTGGCACAAATATTAGGAATTATTATATCCAAGACCCAAGTTTACAAGTGGGTACTGTATTACACGTTTTCTTTTTTGCACCCAAAATATGAGAATACTCAAATTTCTGGCTGTCGAAAATACAAAGTCGGTTTTAATGTTTATTGTGTTCACTCAAATTTCATTATGTCTATTTCTTTTGGGCAGCCAAATGCTACCAGTCCATACATTATCAACATAAAAATAAGGACAATATTATAAATGTGATTAAATTATAAAGAATATATTTTTCTTAAAGAAAAACTTAGAATGTTGTGACCATAAAACATGTTTGGAATATATAATAAAATATTTGGAGGTGGGTGCGAGTAGTTTATTTGCTATCAACCAAACATGAGACTCAAAGTATGAAAAGTGGTTTTAGTTACGCGCAATTACTTTTTTCTTTTTTTCTCTTTCTAAAATGGAAAGTTGGTTCCAAAATTTAATGTGGGTTTTTAATTCTCAATAAAATATTCACACCGCCACTGACCGCGGAATTTGTGGCTAGCACTAAATTCAGCAAGATTTCTCTAACATTTTAAAAGAATTTCTATGCTCTAGTAAAATAACATTGGTGTTCCCATTTAAAACATAGTAGATAAATTTCATACACTAGTAATTTTGCAAGTTAATAAACTTGTAAGAAATGATCAATCTCTTGATTATTTATTTTATGATGAAAAACTAAAAATTTATATGACAATAATAATGAAGATATGATTTTTTTTTAATGAACAAAGTGAGAGGATAGGACATAAATTGGAGAAAAGCAGTGGCGTAGAACAATGGTGATGAGCAGATTGTGAGTAATACTGACATGAATTTACGTTTGGTTTCACGTTTTCAACATTTAAATTTGATTTTTAACGTGTTAACTTGATTTTGATATGTTTGATTGTTCTAAAATTAAATTAATTGTTATTTTTAAAATTTATTTTAATTATGTTAAAATTTATAACTTTTGAATCTGTTTCGAATTAGAATTAAAAATAGATGGAGATCAAATGGCATGAAGTTTTGATGTTATGGAGTGAACTTTTAATGTGATATAGTGGAAGAGGATCCGGAAAGCTCGGGGAATGAATAAGAAAATAGTTTTAGAATATAAATATGAGAGTACTTGAAATTGTACGTGTTAGACTTTATATAGTGTGGATCGTTAAAAATGTCCCTGTGTGATCTAATGTCTTACACAGGGGACAAACTGATTGTATCTGACGGTGAGCGATCGTTCGAGGGTGAAGATCAAGTGTAGGTTCCATGGCTGTGACTACTCTGAGCCATCATCGTCTTAGTAAGCATACTCTTGAATTGCGCTTTATCATAATTGGACTTTCATTGATCCCATGGTCTCCCTAGAACATTTGCCCTCGAGATCTATCAATGCATAAAAATAAAGAGACCTTTTAGAGTACTAGGTAATAATCCTCCTTAACCGTAGTCTTCGTGACAGATTTTTACCTTACAAAATTTGAAAGATTTTTAGCGTTTAAACGATTATAACACCCTACTAAATAAATTTATATAGAATTTTAAGTGGGATATAATAGTTGATACTAAATATATACATTTAAAATTATAAAATATATTTATGTTTGATACATAGAAGTATTATATTATAACAATGTGAATTTTTATACAAACATTACAACAAATAATAAATTTTATAATAAAGTTTTCACATCAGTCAACAACCAACCGAGTTTAAATCATATGCACGCCAAATTTTAATTTTAAAAAACTCAAACGAGGGATAAGTATTAATCAACATCTTTTAAATTGTAACAATTACATTTTAGCGTTATTTATTTACTTTTTATTTTTTATGACTTATTTTTTCGGTTGAGTTGTCAACCAAGAGAAAAAAAAATCTTAAAAGAACACGCCGTCGAAACTCACAACTGCATTCTAGAGTTTTTATAATTTTTTTATAACCTATTTTCTCGGTTGAGCTGACAATCGAAGCGAAAAGTTTTGATCGATTCTCCTTTAAATCCTAACAACAATATATTGACACTTTTTATTTATATTTATTTTTATTTATGATCTATTTTTTCAGTTGAGCTAGTAAAGGATGGGAAAACTATTTTAACACCTTTTATTTTTTATAATTTTATTTATGGCGTTTTTTCTCAATTGATCTAGCAATCGAGAGGAAAAAATTTGTCCAATTTAATGAAAAAATTAAGTAATAAATTTTTGTCGTTCATTTATAAAATAACACCAGTCAAAATATTATCAACTCATCAATTCAAATGAAACATCAATAATCTGCCTGAAATAATAACATTAAAAAAAAACTTTATAATTGTTTGGTTCTTTTTTTGTCTTAGTTTTGTTTATGTGAAATGAAATTTGTTCATTTGAAAACAGAACTTTGTCAACTTCTTACTGAAATTCTGGCAAGCACGCGATGAATGTTATCACGGATGTTATAACATCCACTGTAACACTGACTATTGGAGTAATTAAAATGTTGTAAAGAGAAGCAGTAAATAACACAGTAATTGTTCACCCAGTTCAGTGTCAACAACACTTACATCTGGGGGCTACCAAGCCAGGGAGGAAATTCACTATCAGTAGAATTAATTCAGAGTCAAACACTCAGCTTGCACTCTTCACTTAAAACCTACCCAGAGACCTCTAGACCTGAGTATACCCACTCACTCCCCCTCAATCACCTCAGTGATATCAACACACAATTACAGAACAGTTATGGAGATACACTCCAAAAACACACCTTGATCTTGCTTCACAGCTTTGATCAAGTGACACACACTCTTGCTTAACAGCTTTGAGTGACACAACAACTTAGAACCTACCTAACCGAAGCAGCATACAGTTGCTTGGTGTACAAGTATTCCTAAGACACCTAGACACACGTGAAGAACAAGCCTCTTCACTCACACATACACTCTCCAATCTCTGTCTTGAAGCTCTCTCTTCAAGCTCTATTATCTGTGTGTCTTTCCATTAGGAATGATCCTTCTGCTATTTATAATAGCATACCTGCTTTGGGCCTTGATGGATAAATTAGGTTTACCCAAGTTGAACCTTTCTTCATGAAGCTGCGCACTTACCACATAGGTCAGGTACATTTAATTTCGCCAGGGCTTCTAAAATGTTTTCTGACTTCCAGCTTGAGCTTCTATAAAGTTTCCTGAATTCTAGCCTGAGCTTCCTCATTCTGAATACCAGAAAAACAAACTCTGCGCACCTGATGTCATACGATCAGTGTCATGACATTCAGTATGACATTCAGTTTTACTTACTCATAGCTTTCCTTGCATAACACTCTTCATGTATGTCCTAACATCAATTATGACATTTACTCATACATTAATGTTTTGCCATAAAATGCAGCCAATCAAAAGCACTTACACTTACTTCTGAATTATTTTATTTCAATGCATAAGAATTGAATTCTTATGGATGTACTTTTATATGTAATATAAAATTTTCAATAAAGTAATCTGTTCCAGCCTGGGCCCTCGCTTGACCGGGAAAGTCCCTCCCGTCGGCCAGGCGCTGTCCTGTCAAACAGAACGTCTCCCCGTCGAGCAAGAAGACGTGCGCCGCACACGTTCTCCACGTGTTCCCCTCCGCGGGGACACGTCATCAACCAACTGCCCACCTCCGAAAGAACAGGTCAACCCACTCTCCGGAGTTCACGGAGCAGTTGAACTAGGGCGAAGACCACGTTCTGGTCTTCACTACGCCACGTAAGCCCTAACAGTCACTTGGGTTGGACCTGGCAATCCAACCCATCTCAAATGACCGTTGACCCTACGCTGGGGTCTCTCTATAAATACCCTCTTTCACAAGAGGGTCAGGTATTCAATTCTTAACCTACTTTCTGTCTTTGCTCTCATTCTGTCCAATTCCTTACTTTGACATCGAAGTGTCTTGCAGGTAAGCCCCCTCCTCCTTCCTACCACCGGCGAACAAGCAGTAGATCAAAGACGCGTGGTGGTCCATTGATTCCCTTCTGATCAGGTCAGATCATAAACCAATATCAATTTATTGTTGTTGTCTTTGATAAGTACCATAGCTTTTAATTACGTAAACTACTCTCAATTTAAGCCTGAAAACAAAAATATTAGAAACCTATAGTTATCAAAATTTATCATTTGTATTAAAAAGTTGTCGATACAACAAAAGCTACCTAACTCTTGAACATTGTTGTAATTGCTTTGTCAAATTATTTAAGGTAATTATTACTTCTTATTTATTATTAATAAAATATAATGAAATAATATATTATTTATTACTATTTTCTAATATCTTTGACTTCAAATTTTGTGTGTAACATTTGTTTTGATTCACAATCCTTCGCAAAATATTTCACTACTAGAAAAAAGACATTTGGGATAATGATTTTATATCGGGTATTCACTCGGAGCGATGTAAAATGTAAAATTATAAATACGGTGGCACTATCTTAAATAATAAAAAAATTTTATTAGAGCTTTTACATCGGGCCAATTATTCAACCGATGTAAAAAAGTTAGGGTTGGTAGAAAATAAATTAAAAAAGGGCTTTTAAATCGGTTATTATTTCCACCGATTTAAAAAATGAATTAAAAAGTGCTTCTAAATCGGTTATTAAATGTACCGATTTAAAAAATATATTAAAAAAAGTGTTTTTAAAATGGTTATTAAATGCACCGATTTAAAAAATAAATTAAAAAGAGTGCTTTTAAATCGGTTATTAAATGCACCGATTTAAAAAATATATTAAAAAAGTGTTTTTAAAACGGTTATTAAATGCACCGATTT